GATCTCCAGCATCATTTCTATCACCAAGGCCATATTTTCCAACTACTCATCCTTCCTCTTTGCTCCCAACCTTTGCATTCCAATCACCAGTAATGATTGCATGTTTGATCAGTTTCAGATTGAAGACGTTGGTAGAATTCTTCTATTTCATCCTCACTGGCTTCAGTTGTTGGTGCAAAATTTGAATAATAGTGGTATTAACTGGTCTTCCCTGTAAGCGCATTATCCTATAGCAGGCAGCATTGTACCTCATGACTGATCTTGATATGTTCTTTTTGACAATGAATGCAACACCATTCCTCTTTAATTTATCATTCCTGGCATAGTAAACCATGTGGTTGTCAGATTCAAAATGGCCAATACCAGTCCACTGCCGCTCCATAATGCCTAAGATGTCAATGTTGATGCATTCCATTTCCTTTTTTACAATTTCCAATTTTCCTAGGTCCATACTTCATACGTTCCATGCTCTGATTAGTAATGGATGTTTACAGCTGTTTCTATTTGTTTTGAGTTGTGCCCCATCAGCAAATGAAGGTCCCGCGGGCTTTACTCCATTCCTGTCATCACGGTCAACTCTACTTTGAGGAGGCAGCTCTTCCCCAGTCGCATTTTGAGTGTCTTCCAACCTGAGGGGCTTGTTTTCCGGCACTATATCTGACAGTGTTTCTCTGCTATTCGTAAGGTTTCCTGTGACTAAATATTCGGAAATAGTTTATCTCTCCTTCTTCCTAGTCTGTCTTTGTCTGGAAGCTCATCTGAAACCTGTCTACCATGCGTGACCCTACTGGTTTTTAAAATACCTGTGGCATAGCTTCACGTATTTAAAATACCTGTGGCACAGCTTCACGTATTTAAAATACCTGTGGCACAGCTTCACGTATTTAAAATACCTGTGGCATAGCTTCACAGCAACTCACAAGCGATGAGTGGTGATTAAACAGCAGTAGAAAAATCAAAGGATATATTGAGCAAATCTGCTGGGGAAAAAACTCTTTCAAGTACTAAAAATCAAAAACTGTCACTTTATGGACTTAAACCAGGGCATTTTCAATTGCCTTATTTGCATGTGAAAGGAAGACCAGAGAAGAATTGATGCATTTGAATTATGGTGTTGGCAAAGAGTATTAAATGTATCATGGACTGCTAGAAGGAACCAATCTATTTTGGAGGAAGTACTGAGTACTGGTGTGGTGCTGTGGGCTAATGTGTCAGACTGCAAAGTCGTTTGAACTTCAAGGCTGGTGGTTCAAGCTTCCCGCACAGCCGGTCCCTAGCAGAGAGTCTGTTGCATCTTCTTGCTTAGATCTCTCCAGTGGCTTCACAAAGCGCTCACTGTGACCTTTGGATTCGGACACCCGGCCCCTTCCTTACTCCTGCACATTTGTCTCTACTTCCCCGGCAGTCCGTTCAGCACCTCGGACAGCGCCAAGCGCACCAAGCCGCGCGAGGAAGCCGCTCCTGGACCCCGAGCCGCTCGCTCGCCCGCCCGCCCGGGGGCTCCTAGCGAGTCCCCGGACACGTCCTCTTCCGACCCCCACTCCCAGAGCCTGTCTTCTGCCGGGGCATGGGAGCCGGGCCACCAGAGCGGGTCCTCCCAGCTTCCTAGAGTGCCCGGAAGTGTCCGAGCACGGGGCGGAGCCTGCTGGGGGCGGGGACGCGTCTTCCGGTCCAGCTCCGGTGGTGGCTCCCGCCGCAGCCCTGGGCCATGGCCCGGCTCCCGCCTCGCCACGTCCCCTCTGCTCTTGGACAGCCCTCTTGGCCCGGGCTGACTCCGTCAGGCGCCTGGCCTTCCCTTCCATAGCGCATGCCCGCAGCCCCCGCCCACCATCCGGGGACTGTGAGCTGGATCGTGGAGCGGGCCAGGAACCTGCACAGGGTTGGCGCCAGTAAGGAAAACAGCTCTGGATAGCCACCGCCTCGGGGTGGGGGGTAGGGGATGACCGTTGTCAGTTTCCACTTGTTATTTTTTGTCCCTGGGTAGTTCAAACGGGTAAACGAAAAGTTAGAGGCCACCCAGAGGCACCTCAGAATAAAGGCCTGGTGATCCATCTCCAAAAAGTTAGCAGTTGGAAGTTCCATGGATAAAGTTCTACTCTGACACACGTGAGGTCACCAAAAGGCTGGTCATGTGTGAAGCAGATGGACGGGAGGACTTGGAACTCCTCCTGGTGTTAGGACAGACTCTAAGTCCAAGCCATCAGCATATTTTTCACCTTTCCTTCTTCCTCTACTGCTGTAGGCTGGCTAGAGGATGGCCAGAAAGGGAAAGCAAGATCCCTTCCTGCACGGTGCTGGACAGTGGGGACCCAAGAGGCCCCATCCCCACCTAGTTGGGGTTTCTGTCTTCCTCAGGACCCGTCCCTGGAGCAGCAAGGTGTCTTCATCCAGCTGATGGCTGCCCTGGCACCCAGTCTGGCCACACTTCACCTGCAGAGGGGGCTCTGCCAGACTGTGCTCCTCCAGAGGCCGAGACCCAGCAGCACGGTACTCCCTTTTTTGCACCCTGCTTTCTGCCCTGGCCCTGGTCCTGACTTCACCCCTTTACTGGTGTACAGCCTCCTTGAGCTCCACCTGGCTCCCTCCTTGATGCCTGGCTTCCTCCCCCCAGGGATCCACGTACCCTGCCAGGTCCCAGATCTGAGGGGGAACAGTGGAAGGCTGGTCTTTAAGGAACAGATGTTTAACAAATTTCTTTTTTCTAAGTAGCATCTGGAGTCCTGGTGTGGTGCTGTAGGATAAGCACTGGACTGCTAACCCAATGGCTAGAGGTTGAAACCCACCAGCCACTCTCAGAAACCCTGTACAGGGTCTCTCTAAGTCAGAACCGACCCAGTGACACTTCACAACAAGTAACATTTGAGAATTTCTTTTCACTGTGAGTATTGGTACTCCGACAAGAAAAGTCGGAAAGTGTAGTAAAATGAGACAAACAAAATCTCCGGTCGCAAGTCTAGCAAGCATGGACACCAATTTCGGTCACTCCCTTGGTCTCAGCATGGCAAGTGACCCGGGCTGCTTTTTAATTGGATTGAGTCAATGCTTAGCCCCATTCCTAAAATAACTTTAGTGCCCTGAAAACATCAGACGTGCTGGGCACAGTGCTAGACGCCCAAACTCATTATCTCCCGTGCGCCTGTGTGTGAGGGCACTCAAATAGCTAAAGATCACTGGCAACTAGGGGTGACATACAGTGACATGGAGGGCAGAGAAGGGCTGCCCCTAGGATTTCCCAGACTGGGAATCTTTATGGGAGCAGACAACCAGCAGCTGCTGGGTTCAACTAGTGCTTAACCATTGTGTTATCAGGGCTGCTGGCATGGGGGCTCAGAAGAGCGCTTACCACAGCCTCAGTGTGGCCTCATGTCTGGTTCCCTGCCACACCTCCCACCCACCCATCCTCACCTGACCTCCTCTAACTGAAACGGTAAAATGCCTTACAGGAAAAGACAAGCTTGTGTGGCCAGAGAAGGTGGTGGGGAGGCAAGTGTCTGGGACTCTCTTGCCGTGGGGAGGGTGGGAGCGAGGGATGCCCAGACTAATGCCCGCTAGGTGTGCCATTACCCAGTGCAGGAGCACACTGCACCCTGTCCCGGCACCTACCGGCCCCCCTCCTCGCCTGTGGGAGCTCCTCAGAGCAGGTGGCATGTCCCCAGCCCCTCTGCCCTAGGCTGTTCTCTCCACTGGACTGGCTGAAGTACCTTCCTACTGCGATACTGTGGCTGCTGTCCGCCTGGGTTCTTTCCTCAGGTCCCCTCCAGGCTGTGGTGTTGGTGGTGCTGAGGTCTGCTCTGGACCCTGGGGTCCTGGGCACCGCATCGTGGCGGCTTCCACCTGTACCAGGCAGCAGGGATCGCCGGTGCCACATCTGCCGCCCACTCGGTTCCGCGGGTCATGTGCATTGATTGATCTCTTTGAACAGACCCATGACTTTTCTCGGAGCTCTTTACTGTGCTTGGGCCGCTGGTTTGTGTTTGGGGAGCTGGCTGAGGAGCCCTGAGTTGCTTGGATCTGTTTCCCCATCCACCCCGCTGTCCTGAATGGGCCTGGTCCTATTCTTAGTTCTGCGTCTCACATCCCTGCAGGGACCTACACCTGTCGGTGGTCAGGCGGGAACAGGATGGAGCACTGTCCTTAAGCTGGTCACCAGGTCTGCCCTGTTTCTTACCTGGGTTCCCTCTTCTCAGGGCACCTTCCTGCTTCCCCACCTCCCCAGCCTGTTTTCAGACTATGTCTCTGAGGTTCCCATCCCTTACAAGAGTCAATGGGATAGTGGAAACCCAGGGGCCACCACCCAGTGCGTATCTCATGGTATCACCCTTGCCCCCACCCCTTAGGGTGGGCAGGGCCTGCCTGTGGATTCCACCCCCCCCACCACCACCAATGGCAAAGTAGCCTGAACCAGCCCCCTGCGGTTCCCTGAAGCTCCTCCCCTCTCTCATTGACCAATGCAGAACTCCTCCTCCATGCAATGGCCAGCTGCTGGGATGGTGGGTGGGGAGGGGGACCAGTTATCATACTGGTTGAAGGGTAACATCACTCCCACCTGGGGTCATGTTGGTGTCACCTCCTCTAACAGTGATACCACTGGGGATGCACTGTCCCCACACTGGCTGGGGGTGGTGTTCATCTCCACATCCTTGGACGATTTCAGTGGTATATGGAGGTGAAATCTTTTATCTTTGGCCTGGTTTTAGAGACAGCTGGTTCCATATATTATTAAAATGTAGCTGGTCGTGGAGAGATAGAACAGCTGAGGACTCTAGACTCATGGCAAGAGAAAAGCTGTGTGCTGCGGCCAGGAGGCAGGCTTGCAGAATGTGCCCTTTGGTTTTTTAAATGATTCTATATTCCTGAGTGTTTGTGTACACCCCTCCCCCCCCCAAAAAAAAACCCTAGAGGGAATGGAAGCAAATACTGTTGAATGATGGGTCGCTTTGGGTCGGAACCAACTTGAAGGCACTTAACAACATCGTGTCGTCTGGGCGTCTTCCCTTCAATCCCATCTGGGTCCATTTTAACAGCTGCTAGAAACTGCCAAAAGAACTAACAGATCGGTGTTGGAAGAAGTGCAGCCGGAGTGCTCCTTGGAGGTCAGGGTGGCCAAACTTCATCTCTCATACTTCAGACATATTGTCGGGAGGGACCAGTCACTGAGAAGGATATCATGTTTGGTAAGGTGGAGGCTCAGAGAAAAAGAGGAAGACCCCCAGTGAGATGGATGACTCAAGCGTGGCAACAGTAGTGAGGTTGGCCCAGAATCGTTCTGCTGTGTAGAGGGTCTCTATGAGTCGGTACCAACTCGAGGGCACCTAACAACAAGAAACCAGTACACACCCATCCCCTCCATCAACCCTTTCAGTCTTTCACTGAGTTCTTGAGGGAGGCAGTGGGCTTCCTGTGCAGCAACTGTGGGGGTTTGGGTGAGCATCTGTGACCCTTTGCAGAGCCCGCATCCTCCCTGCCTCTGGCCGGCAGCCTCATCCCCCTCGGTTCGCTGTGAACCTCCATCCATACTCCTTCCCATCCCCCATCCCTGACTTACTTGCTTTGATTTAAATGAAATGGCTGTGCCTTCCCCAAGTTTGTTCCCTGGTCCGAGTCCTGTGACATTTGTCTGCTCTCTGGTTTCAGACTACGAAGAGAAGGACGCTACTCAGAGTGGGGAGCTGACTCGGGAGCAGGAAGTCTCAGAAGAGGTGGAGCCCCGGGGTGCCAAGGGCAGACCACCAGAGTCCAGGGGTCAGAGCCTAGGGAGGCCCGCGGGGCTGCAAAAGAGCACCCCGGGAAGAAGCAAGCCCTCGGATCTATGCCCAGACACGAAGCCAGACTGGCGCAGTGCCTGGGGGCTCCCTGGAAAGACCCTCTGGGTGAGGCCCCAGATGAGTGTGACTCCAGCCTGGGGGAACCCATAGCGCACGGCAGGCCGCAGGAGCCGATCCCTGGGGGGCAGGGCCTGGAGGAATGTGAGACGGCATCCCCGTACGGGGACTCCACGCTCAGGCACCCGCGGGCGCCTGGCGGGGAGAGGCCGCACACGTGCGGGGAGTGCGGGAAGGCCTTTGGCCGCCGATCAGACGCCCTGAAGCACCAGCGCATACACACGGGCGAGAAGCCGTACTCCTGCGGCGAGTGTGGCCGCGCCTTTGTACACAGCTCGCACTTCACGCAGCACCTGCGCTCCCACCGCGGCGAGAAGCCCTTTAAGTGCCCGGAGTGCGGCCAGGCCTTCAGCCAGAGCTCCAACCTGGCGCAACACCGGCGCGTACACAGCGGCGAGCGGCCCTACGCCTGCGCAGAGTGCGGCCGCGCCTTCAGCCGCAGCTCCTTCCTCCGAGAGCACCGGCGCATCCACA